CACTCAACACAGTAGTCCAAATAAGGTACAAACATAGAGCAGTAAAGAGTATGGAGTGACTTCCGATCCACAATATTTTTTAACTCTTGCCAATATAGATATACTTTTAGCCAATTTATTATGTATATATTTAATATGAGGTTTCCAACAGATTTTATCATCAATATTTATGCCTAGAAATTTTGTTTCGTAAACTCTTCCTATATTGGCATCCCCCACCCTTACTTGGATCTGACGATTTTAATCTTCCATATCCAAACAGCATGAATTTTGTTTTGTCCAGATTGAGTGATAACTTATTCCTGTCACACAATTTCTTCACCTTGTTCAATTCCACAGTAATCAGACCCAAAAGTTGCTGTAGGTCTTCCCCAGAGGCCCATATAGTAGTATCATCAGCAAATAGTACAAAGTTCAATAATTCAGAAACATTGCATATATCATTAATATACAGTATGAAAAGTTTAGGACCCAAAACTGACCCCTGTGGGACTCCACATACTATATCCAGAAAATCTGATTGGTGCTCGCCCAGACTTACAAATTGCCGTCTGTTGGTCAAATAACTTTTTATCCATTTCAACACCAAACCTCTAATACCATACCTTTCTAATTTATCAAATAAAATTTCAAAGTTAATAGTATCAAAAGCCTTTTGAAAATCAATAAAAATCCCCAATGTTTGTTTCTTGTTGTCCCAGGCACTAGTAACACCTTCTACAAATTCAGTTATTGCAAGCGCTGTGGATCTATTAGATCTGAAACCATATTGCTTCTCAGTTAAAATTTTATGTTTGTCCAAAAATTTATCTAGTCTAGCATCAAAAAGTTTTTCTAAGATTTTAGAGAATTGCGATAATAAAGAAATAGGTCTATAATTTGTAATATTATGTCTATCTCCAGATTTATAAAGCGGAATAACCTTTGCTATTTTCATACTATTAGGAAATTTTCCTGATTGAAAGGACAAATTAAAGATATAAGTTAGTAGTTTAGAACAACCATCAATTACCGATTTAATAATAGTCATGCTTATTCCATCACTGTCAGTCGATGTCTTATTGTCACATTTATGAATTATATGTCTAACCTCCATTTCTTCAATTGGTTTAAGGAACATAGAATGCTGATTTTTTTTCCAATAAGATTAGCAATAGTGCCATAGGACACATCATTGTCACAAATATTCTTTGCTAATTCAGGCCCCACATTAACAAAGAAGTCATTGAATTTATTTACTATATCCTCCATTTTATTAACCATCTTATCACCATCCAAAAAATAGTGAGGATAATTGTCCTTACCATGATTATTTCTGATGACCATATTTAATATATTCCAAATACCTCTCTTATTATGTGTCATGTTTTAAATTACAAATTGCTACAAACTACAACATATCTGTAAGTATCAAAAATAAAATGCTGTTGTCTTTTTTTGCAGGTGTTCAGTTTCCGTAAACTCTGGGCCTTCACTGGACCAGGCTTTTTGATGAGCATTGCTTACTTGGATCCAGGGAACATCGAGTCTGACCTGCAGTCTGGAGCTGTAGCTGGTTTTAAGGTGATATACTGTATATGGCCTTGCGTATAAATGTTAGGCTGGACAGCAAGGTAAAACATGTTTGTGCTGCTGTGGACTGGTAGGTTAACGGGGAGGATGTAGGAGAAGCATAATACAGTGAAATGGAATCAGTTTTAACCACAGTCCAAATTCAGCAGGTGATTCTAGTACTGCTATATAATTTTGTTTGTTCTCCTCATCAAGATACATATGTTTCCTTTTTGTCTAAAAGTCATTTTATTGTGAAGGTAAAATGCCTTTTTTCGTTTTCTTGCTTTTATACCCTAAGCAAAGGCATCTACTGCATACATCATGGAAGCAATGGCTTATGGATATTGCTGACATCATTATCCATGTTTAATAGTGCCAGCATTGTTGACAAAGAAATACCAGCTTTGAATGTCAGCTTTAGTCCATCACATTGTCCAAAATGAACATTACATAATTTACATGGGCAGCCGTTATTTAAATGTTGCTAAATCAAGCAGTTTGTGCTGATTTTTGTCTTCCATTTTCAGCTGCTATGGGTGCTCCTTGTAGCCACCATCATTGGGCTGCTGTTGCAGAGGTTAGCTGCTCGCCTCGGGGTTGTCACAGGGTTGCACTTGGCTGATGTCTGCTACAGCCAGTATAGGTGAGCTTTTCTACACTCTCATTATACCTTGTTGAATAACCTCTGTGAACTATAGGTACCTTGAGGGGAAATATATTCTGTTAACTGATAAAATCTTCTTAATAATTTTGTTTTTCAGTTTCCGCGGATCATCCTTTGGTTGATGATTGAACTGGCAATTATTGGCTCAGACATGCAGGAGGTCATTGGCTGTGCGATAGCTCTCAACCTTCTCTCTATGGGCAGGTAACGTCTTTAGTGATTGCAAATATTTCTTACAGATTTCAAAGAGTGTGTCAGTGTGTGTGTGTGTGTGCTGTTTCTCCACCAGGATCCCACTGTGGGGAGGAGTCCTCATCACTATCACAGACACATTTGTCTTCCTCTTTTTAGACAAATATGGTATGTGATTTTCTTCTGTAGCTACAACTGCTATCATCCAGTCAGTACTTGAGAAGCTGCACATCTCAGTGTTGATACATTTTTCTCTTCATAGGCCTGAGGAAACTTGAGGCTTTTTTTGGCTTTCTCATCACTGTAATGGCTTTAAGCTTTGGTTACGAGGTAAGACTCCCTTACATTTGAAATATAAGACAAGCATTTGCTGACAGCTCACACAGTTATTAGAGAGCTGTTCATGGCACCCTGACCTGCCTGACTCTCATGTCTTTCTGTAGTATGTGCTGGTAAATCCAAACCAAGGGGATGTACTGAAGGGGATGTTCATGCCCTACTGTGCTGGCTGTGGGCCTGCACAGCTGCAGCAGGCAGTGGGAATCGTAGGTGCTGTCATCATGCCACACAACATTTATCTGCACTCAGCGCTGGTCAAGGTTAGAAACATTTGATGTCACACGCAGATTAACAAGATGCACACCTAACAGAAAGTCAAAACTAGGTTCTCCTTGCTCTGCATGGATGCCATTTTTTAAAATCCTAAAGCAGTAACATCGTCTTGGAGGCACTACTGAATGAAAAATCTAATACACAGTTAATTTTGTGTATGAAAGTTTGATGAAAGTTGTTATTCTCTTTATTCCCTCTTGTATCAGTCTCGAGAAATCGATCGCAAAAACAAGAAGGCGATTAAAGAGGCCAACAAGTACTACTTCATCGAGTCATCGCTTGCTCTCTTTGTCTCCTTTCTCATCAACGTCTTCGTAGTAGCTGTCTTTGCTCAGGCCTTCTACAATAAAACCAATATTGAAGTGGTGGGTATACAGTGTTAAAAATCCATAACTCTGTACTGCTGAAGCTTGTGCTGGGCATTTTTGAAACACACTGAAATAATTTGTTTTCTGATTAGTATTGTTGCTCATGTCCTGGTTGCAGAATAGTGAGTGCAATGCAACTGGCAGCCCTCACACTGATCTTTTCCCTCTCAACAACGACACACTTCAGGTGGACATCTACAAAGGGGTATGTATGGGCATTATTATGACGACAATAAATTCATAATAGTCCATTGAAGATTAGATGGTGCGCATTAATATCAGATAAATGCACAAGTCTGATTTTGGGACCAGACTCCAGCTATATAATATTAATCACATAAAAAATAATAAGAGGGAATAAAATAATGATTAGAGAGACAAGTAGAAGTACAAGGACAAGGCCATTCATTGTTGACAAAGATAACATAAGCTGTTTTCACATATGAACTGCAGACTGTCCAGAGTTGCCCTTTCACATATGTGGCACACAGCAGGCGACATGCAGACACCCATGTAGACATGTTCTCACCTGTTGCGGCAGGACAAAATGGAGTCACGTAGCCGGTTTGTGATTTGGTCATAAACAAGCGAGTCTCTCGTCATTCCTTGAATTTGTCTGATGGTTTTAGCTTTGGATTGTAATGACAGAAATACCGTCTTCAATATAAATGGCCCTTTTTTTCACCATTGGATGTTTGGATTCTTCCAGTTTTGTGCCAGTCACATGATAGAAGTCATCAACATGCCTACTATCTCCATGTGAATACCCCGGACTATATGATGCTGTTTTGAATTGAGTCTATATGATGGACTCAATTCTATTCACTCAGACATTATGCAGGCCTTGTATTATGGAGCTGGCAGAGTAAAGTCCACTTAAGGTCCACATCGACTGACTCGAACATTTGTTTTCTCACATACTGTATAGCTCCTCTGGGTAATGTCTAGATAATTTCCGGGTTCCAGTGCATATCTGAAAAGGTCTATAGTTTCTGAAGAACACCCTGCACGTACACACAGTGCTTACCAGTTATTTTGGCTGGGCGCTGAAGGGAATGTCATCTCACGTTGCACCTTTGCATTTCCAGCTTCAGAAATGGTTTGCATTAAAGAGGGAAGTTGTCCCATGGTGAAAGATGGAACAAAATGTCAGTTCCAGTCGAGAACTCCATGAGCCTCGAGAAGAGGTTTAATCAGGCAGATAAATTGGAAACACCTGTGTGGATGGGCTTTAAAGAACTCTGTGCCCCAAATATACATACACTTAAACTGACTCAACCTATTATTCTGAACCTTCTCTTTACTCAGTCGCTTTGTAAATTTCCAGCCCAATATTATTAAATATCCCTGTCCCATTTCACCCATCTTCAACTATAGATAGGTAATAGGATCATTAATTCTTTGTTGTCTGTTCAGGGGGTGGTCCTGGGCTGCTTCTTTGGTCAGGCAGCCCTCTACATCTGGGCCATCGGGATCCTGGCAGCTGGACAGAGCTCCACCATGACAGGCACTTACTCAGGCCAGTTTGTCATGGAGGTAAGAATGCCTGTTGGCTAAAAATGTACCTATAGTTTAATTACTTTTTATGTTGTAGTCAAGCAACTGAATATGGCTAAAAAGTAAAGAGGTACAGTATACCATTGTGCTTTCCTGTTTGCTAAGGGTTTCCTGAACCTCCGGTGGTCCCGTTTTGCACGGGTGGTCCTAACCCGCTCCATCGCCATCACACCTACCCTGCTGGTGGCCATTTTTCAAGATGTTCAGCATCTGACAGGGATGAACGACTTCCTCAACGTGCTTCAGAGCATGCAGGTCTGGCTCAGTTATCCAGAAAGCTCTCACAATGAATTCTGTCAGAAGTTCTTGCTCTCACACAATCCACAGACCAGGATTTTGACACCTAGCCTTCTTGTACTGTTCCTGTTGTGTAATACATGATACTGTAAAATACTCAGTATGAATTCTCTTTCCATGCAACAGCTTCCATTTGCTTTGATCCCCATTCTGACCTTCACCAGCCTGACGTCCATAATGAATGACTTTGCAAACGGATTGTAAGTGAAATGTTTACATTTTATGTTGTTCACTGAGAATGATGACCTATATCAACAAGGCTTTAACCCATTTTGTCTGTCTGTCACAAGTGTACCTGGCCATGTAACACATAAATAACTAGCATATGTCAGACAAAAACATCAGTTAGTACAGTCCTCAATGCTACAGCTTCTGCTTCCACTACAGGATATCTCAGAATTTAGGGGACAGATAAGATGAAGGCCAAGGAATAATTTATTTAATTTTGTTCTTTTTAGGCAGATATAAAACTAACCGAGAGAATCCTGAGAATCTGTTGTGGTAGAGCTCTGTGTGTAGTTCCTCACTAACTAATTAAATGCAGTTTGTTTCAGATAAGTTTGTGTTTTTAACTTGGACGTTTACAGATTTTTTTTTTTTCCTGTCATACAGTATAGACAAATAACCAAATTCTAGAGCAGCTATGTTTTGTTTAGACAGGCTCCAGTTGTGTAACTGAAACTAGGAACTGAAATCGAACCTGCGTAACATCATTTGCAATATCCTGGAGTATATTCAGTTTGAGAAAACACATAATTTCTCAATGGCCTAATAAAGTGTCTTTGTTTACTCTTTGTTTACTTCAGGGGGTGGAAGATATCCGGCGGCATCGTCATCCTGGTGGTTTGTGCAATCAATATGTACTTTGTGGTGGTTTACGTGACGTCGCTGAACAGTGTGCTATTCTACGTTCTCGCTGCTCTCCTCTCCGTAGCGTATCTGTGCTTTATAGTTTACCTGGTGAGTTACTGCAACTTTACATTCAAATCGCAGACATTTTGCCAGCTTGAGCTAGTTTAAGCTTGTGTGTTTTTTCAGTGTATATGTATATTTTAAAATAGTAAATGAATTTATAATTGTGACAACACGTTCGGCAAGGTTCTGACAAGTGTGGGCCTGAATGCAAGCAATTCAGATACCGGTCAGACAACTATTCTCAATATATTAAAACTTCATATTTAATAAAATTCCAATGATCCAAGATTAAAGACACAAATTAAAGGCAGATTTACGGCAATGTACATCATCGGTCTGTGTTTTAATCCTTATAAACTGACTGGTATAAATAATAAGTAGTGACAATTATAAAACATACCAAGAAGAAAATATGTAAAAACATGTTTTCTTCTCTGTATGTTTTATAATTGTTATAAATTATCATAGTTGTGATTAATTGGTCAGGTTTCTGTGTTTAAAAAGATCAAATAATATTTTCATGATTTTGATTTATTGAAAACTATATGCTATGTGCATAAAGTTGTGCACAGACATCGTCGTCTTAACTTCTCGCTCTTTCTCACTGTCTACAGGCATGGCACTGTCTGATTGCTCTGGGGGTTTCCTGCCTGGACTTTGGCAGCAGGGTAAGAAGACAACCCGCTCTGCTCATAGAGGAGTAGTAAGAGTACGACTCCTAGAGCTGAACAAGACAGTAACCGCCAGCATTCCTCTTTCCTCTTGGAGAACCTGAGCCCTGTACACAACCAGGACTTTTCAAGATCATGTAGGATCTGTCAGTGTCACATGTTATTCTGTGTAGGGCTGGGTATCAGGTCCCCAACCAAACGTATTAATACTCCACCAGCACAGTATTAGTGGCCTTCATACAAATCAATAATTGTTAAAATCCTCAAAGATGACGACCGCATTTACCTTTGCTTGTAAAGTGTGACATGAGTGATTTATACAGCAACTCGGTAATTCACCTAACTACCGTAAAATCTGGACTATAAGCCGCTACTTTTTTCACAAGCTTTGAACTTTGCGGCTTAAACAATGATGCGGCTAATTTATGGATTTTTACGGGCTAACGACCTTCATGCCTCATGCCGCCAATACATTTAGCCTCGTCACATCAGACCAATGAAATTACCGAACAGGTCACAGTGGACCAATGAAACTGTTCGAATTAAATCAAATGCACTCACACTAAATTCTTCAGATCAGTCATTTTGTACTTCATGCACACACCCTTATCATGGAAAACGCACAAAGAAATGCATATGATGCAGCTTTCCAGTTAAAGGCGATCAATCTGGCTGTCGAAGAAGGAAATAGAGCTGCTGCATGTAAGCTTGGCATCAATGAATCGATGGTGAGACGATTTTGTTAACCATCCCTGTTACAGGAACTGTTCGGAAAAAGCATTTATTAAATTAAAAGTAAAAAATGTGTAACATCTTTCTCTGTAAATATCTCATGTTAAAACATGGACACCTGCGGCTTATAGACAAGTGCGGTCTATACAGTGGGGCAAAAAAGTATTTAGTCAGCCACCAATTGTGCAAGTTCTCCCACTTAAAAAGATGAGAGAGGCCTGTAATTTACATCATAGGTATACTTCAACTATGAGAGACAGAATGAGAAAAACAAATCCAGAAAATCACATTGTCTGATTTTTAAAGAATTTATTTGCAAATTATGGTGGAAAATAAGTATTTGGTCAATACCAAAAGTTCATCTCAATACTTTGTTATATACCCTTTGTTGGAAATGACAGAGGTCAAACGTTTTCTGTAAGTCTTCACAAGGTTTGCACACACTTTTGCTGGTATTTTGGCCCATTCCTCCATGCAGATCTCCTCTAGAGCAGTGATGTTTTGGGCCTGTCGCTGGGCAACACGGACTTTCAACTCCCTGCAAAGGTTTTCTATACACGATACATGGCCCCATTCATCCTTTCCTTTACATGGATCAGTCGTCCTGGTCCCTTTGCAGAAAAACAGCCCCAAAGCATGATGTTTCCACCCCATCATCAGTGATCTTGTACCTATGATGTAAATTACAGGCCCCTCATCTTTTTAAGTGGGAGAACTTGCACAATTGGTGGCGGACTAAATACTTTTTTGCCCCACTGTATATGTACAAAATTTTTTATTCTTCTTAAATTTAGTGGGTGTGGCTTATAGTCAGGTGCGCTCAATAGTCTGGATTTTACGGTAGCCATCATTTTATAAAATGTTACTGAAATAGCTCAGCTTGTGTTTCTTACTGTCTTTGTGAGGACACATTCTGTGCAGTTGTTGCGCTTTGGAGACTGATGGAGGATATCAGTGATCTAAAACCTCAACTAACAAGAAAACATGTTCATTAAATAATTCTTTTTCAAAAATGAATATTTTTAATTAAAAAAAACAAAACATTATGAAAGTTTCCCCCTTTCCAGTACCAGTGTACTACTGAATCAAATCAAATCAAATTTTATTTGTATAGCGCCAAATCACAACAAAAGTCATCTCAGGACACTTTACAAAGTAAGGTCTAGACCTTAGTGTTATCACTATTATTACATAGGGAAAACCCAACAAATCCCCCTTGAGCAAGCACTTGGCGACAGTGGGGAGGAAAAACTC